TTCCATCGAGGTCTGCGGGTGACGTCATCACTATAAGCTGCTGATAGTGACGTCACTCGCAGGCTCAGAATTTGATAAAGTGTGTTTTTTTTTAAAAAAGATAAAAGTCAAAATGAGATTATGTTGGCAATACAATGTAAAATTGTCAATGCTTTCAAATTTTTTGTGTAGAAAAGGCTTGTGCTTCAAACATATTACTTAATTTTTGACTTGGGGAATTATCTTTAAACAAAAAAACAGATTTTAGAGAGGGAGATAGGGGAGTATGACACATCACATAACCCAGCATACCCGAGTATGCTTGATTATCCTCGCGAAAAATTGCCAATTATATCTTACTTTTTTCCATCATGTGATAAAAAGAAATGGGTAAAAAGTCAAAAAATCCCCTCCCATCACTTTCTATAAACTAATGGTGGATTTATACAGACAAATAACATAAGATAAGAATAAGATAAAAATAACATAAAAGATGAATGTACACATTTGCCATAGGACATTTATAGGGTAAATAACATAAGAATAAAAATAAGGAATAAGATAAAAGATGACTATCTTTCATCTTCTTATTTTATTTTTATTTGAAAATACAAGTGCGCATGTGTAGGACATTTGACGTGACAGTCGGGTTGACGGTTGGATTCGAATTGAGTTGACGGTTGACTCATCTGTTTTGTTTTCTGTGCGGTGCGTGCTCTTTGGTTATCGTTCTGTGTGTTTGTTGCATTTGTTGTCGAAGTCGAATTAAAGAAAATGGATGATGAACATTTAATCAATCAAGTTAAAGAGTTTCCTGCTCTATACAATAAAAAAGATTCTAGATACAAAAGCAAATTAGCAAAAGAAAATGCGTGGAAGACCATTGCGGCTATTTTGGAAAGCGATGGTTTGTTCTATTGTTCTTCAACCATTATGTTCTCTATATTATCTTTATATTTCCAGTTGTTAGCTGTGAACAAAGATGGACGAGTTTGAGGGCCAAATATACTACCATTCGAAAGAAACTTAGGGAGATGCCATCCGGGTCTGGGAGTGCCGATATTCCATGTTTTTGGCCATATTATCACATGCTTAGTTTTTTGGATCCCTTCCTGCTAACGAGGAGGTAAGTACATAATAATTGATTAGGTCAATAGGCTTAAGGTAATATGACTTATGTTTTAGAACGGTGTCAAACTTCAAGCCCTCAATGCAGCCAGTTTCCTCTGCTTGGGACACTTTAACTCAAGTTTTAGAGGGAACAAGAGAGGAGCCTGAACATAGTGAATCCGACGATTTTTTGACACCTCTTCCATCCCCAAGGGAGGAATCCCTAGCGGCCCCAACTCCCCAGCAGGCGAGGATCCAAAAAACTGCCAGCGCCAGTCCTCACGTCGAACTTGAGGCGAAAAAAAGGAAAACTGAAACTGTTCAAGATGAATTGTGTAACAAAATGTCTTCCTGCATTGACACACTAAATGCAAATTTGGGGCAAAAATCCTCGGACAGGGAGTTTGCTCTAAGTCTTGCCCAAGACATGAGTGTCTTGACAAGCGAAGAAAAAATTTTTTTTAAGAGGAATGCTTATATGTTACTAACAGAAATCCTAGAAAAAAGACATTAAAAAGATTTGTTTAGTACCTACCTATATTTTTTTTTTGTGCTGGATACTTTTTCAATTTAAAATAAAAAATGTCAAACTACAAGTACCATCAATGGTACCTCAATAAAAATAAATAAAATAACAAATTTAGTTTCATTCATGTATTTTTGTCAAAATAATTAGTTAACATTGAAGTTATCAGGTACAGATCCGGCATATAATCTGTTCCATTGATTTTTTATTTCTCCTAATGGGGATATTAAATATTGAGCTAAGGTATTTCGGAGCATCTGGACCCTCTTTGCAGCATTGTTTGGTCCTGTTCGTCCAATTGAACGAAGTTTATTTTTCAGTTTTCTCCATTCGCCTTCTTTTTGCTCTCCATTAATATCATCAGAGTCTGCAAATCCTGTAGGACAGTACCTTCTTTGGGATTCGGGTATGTCTTCTTCACCCTTTTGAATGAAATTATGAAGCACTACTATAGCTTGTACAATAAGCTCACATGTTTCCACATTTGCTATAATAGTACTACGTAACCTCCTCCATCTCTGGGCCATTATGCCAAATGCATTTTCAATGCAACGTCTTGCTCTTGAAAGCCTCAAATTAAAAATGTTTTCGTGATCTTCAAGGTAGCTTCCTGCATAAGGCCGCATTATATTTTCATGCAGAGGAAATGCAGCATCAGCTACAAAGTAATGGGGACACTGGATGTCAGTTCCTGGCAAAATTTTTGCTTCTGGTAACTGTAATGTCCCTTCAATTAAAGATTTTCCATAGCTGGACTCCTTGAATACAGCACAATCATGATTTGCCCCTGCACTTCCAATGTCCACATATGTGAACTTGTAATAGGCGTCACATGTAGCCATCAAAACTATGCTAAAGATATAATTTTCAACATTAATTATTAAGCATACTATACTATAATGATTCTTATTTTACCTAAATGACTTCTTGTAGGAAAAATATGTTGATCCTGAATATTTTGGACACTGAATTTCCACATGTTTGCCATCTAGTGCTCCGATGCAGTTTGGCATATTCCATTTCTCATAAAATTCATTTGAAATAGTTTTTAGCTTTTCTTTAGATGGTGTTTCGAGTACTAGAGGTTGCAACGTCTCCCAGAGAACTTTACATGTTTCTTTTATGATACAATGAGCTGTGGTTAAGCCAATGTAATTGTTCCATGCAATTTCTTGCATTGAGCACCCTTCAGATAAATAACTGCAAAAAGAAAAATATTGTTAGGGATTTAGTAGATGCAGTTTATTATTTAAAACATATATAAACATTAGTGAATCGTCTATACTCACTGTAATGTTACAGCTAATCTTTGTTCTGCTGAAATCGGGCACTTTGAAGGATCTTTTGTTATATATGGTCTGATAAGGTCAAGAAGCTTATCGAACAGTTCTGGGGACATCCTGGTATACTTAAAGAATTGTTCTCTGTCATTTCGCTTAGCAAATTTCAAGAGTTTGTCATATACAGAAACATTGGTCCTATTTCTGTTCATTGGCCTAACCTTAAACCTCCTGTTTCGTTTTTTCCGCAGCAAATTCAACTGGATTGCAATCGTCATGAAAGTCATGAGTAAAACCGCAGCCTCAATGTCGTCCAACATTTTCCAAAATCCAAAATTTAAACCACAAAACTCAAAACTTGAACACCATAGACATAAACAAATCTTTTATTTTTTAGAAAAATTATAAAACATATGGTTGACACACTTGACAGTTCCAAAAACTTGGAGGTGCGCAGGCGTCTCCCGAAAGTTATTATTGGACGATTTCCAATCTTATTCTTATTTTATTTCTCGTATAAATGCATTCTTATTCTTATTTCTTATTTAATGTTATTCTTATTTTTATCTTATTCTTATGTTATGTTATTTGCTGTATAAATCCACCATAAGTGGCACTATTTGAGTGTTGCTGCAGGCACACACGAAAATTCCCCAAGAACAACCCTGATCAACATAGTTGTTTTCTGAGAATAGTGCCTGACTAGGGCTTAAAGTAATGTTCTCGTATAAACTGGGCTGCAATCTTATCATGCTAGTAGTTTTTACTTACTACTTTTTTCTAAAAATATAAAAATGTTCGGAATAATATGCGTTAAATGCTATTAGTCCGAAAATGATAGGTGAATATTTTGCGGAACAATAACAAAATAAACTAGTAACCCGATAATCGGAATAGAAACAAAAACACTATTATTCCGATTATTGGACGAGCATCCAGTCCAATGTTTATTGAATAAATTGAATATTGTGTCGATTCTGCTTTAGTAAAATTGAAAAATCGGATCATCTTTGATAAAGTGCTCCAGGGATAACGCCCAATTATCTGTTTATTTAGAAGTCTTCGGATTGACATAATTTAGACTCGAATTTAGAGCTCTCAACTGAATTTCAATGAAATAACTAATTATTGTTTAACTTACATGTGCCAATAACCGCCAACAACCAACAGAACAAGAACTGAGCATTGAGCTTGAGGAACAAACAAAAATAAAAATAAATATGGCAAAATCCAAAAAAACCCTTTAGTTCTTCTACGCCTCTTCTCCGACAACAACACACCTCCAGTCGGCTGTCATCGTGTGTCATTTCATAGGTCACATAACTCGGCTGCGTTCGATAACTCTAGGTTTGTTTGTTTGTGTTGTTCGGATCCGAGCAGCACTTTCTGCTTTGGAGCGTTCGTTTGTGTTATGGAAATCAATGACATTACATTTACAGTTCACTATGGACCGAACCTTGGTGCCAATTTATTGACTTCAACGTTTATTTATTCCGGTCGGTTTACAACATGTTTACAATCATTGTGTCACCATATCCGACGTCATTACCAAGTCGTAGCTGTTTGCACTAGAGGTCGTAGTTTAGAATTTAAATGTATGATGAAAAATATCATTTAATTTTGATTGACATAATAAATAGGCACAGAGGAAGATGAAAACGAGATCTAAAGAAGAGTTGTTTTAGAATGGTAATTCATGTGGTAAAACCAAGTATGCATATAAGAGCCGTTTTACACGGCAAAGTTTCTTCACGAAATTACTCACGAAATTAAAGAGTTGAAGTGCTGGCTTGTACGTGTACGTAGACGTGTGAATTGACATCTGCGCAAGCGCAGTATGCAATTTTTTACGTTTGCGTCTGAGCCTGCATCCACATGGGTACGTGATCACGGATCCGTTGTAACCGCGTGACAACTACCAACCAATCAAGTGCTGGATGGTTTCACGTACGTCCGTGAAGGTCATTACGGAGAGAAGTTGGTTAATTTCAACTTCGTCCGTGTTTTGTGTCCGTTTTGCGAGTTGTTTATGTTTACATTTTTGAATGTATTTTGGCGGTTTTGTTTTTGGGGTTTGGAACTTTTTTAGTTTGTGTTTTATGACGATGTCGGCTGAACAAACGCAGTTCAAATGTGGATATTGTGGCTTTCTAATAAATAGCTACTGCGAAAATTATCTGGACCACGAGTGCTTTCGCCGTTTAATTTCGCAAAACCAAGATAGGACGCTGGATCTGTGTGCCAATGAGCAAAACATTTTGACTTTGGGTGAGTAGAGAAACTTAGTTTTATTTTTAATATTAATAGTTTTTGTTCTGAATTATTATGCAAGCATTTATGATATTAATTATTTTGTTTCAACACCACATTAGGCCCATTTTATTTATATTAGATTGGCAACTTGTGCCTACCTATTTCTGCCTTCAAATTATGTGATTCCAAAGTTTAGGCTCCATATAGTTCTGATAAATGGGTCTACCATGGTATCGAAATTTTGCCATGTGAATGCCATGAGTAATAGTGTCGTGGTGAAACATTCATCTATTATTATTTATTTGTATTTAATATTTTAGAACTACCCTCGGGACTACCAATTAGTCAAAATGTTGCCGCCCCAGTTGCCAGTGCAAAACTGAACGACGAACTTCTAATTTCCCTAGTTTATGCCCGGAAGCCACTGTGGGACTTCAGAACCCCACTACAGGCAAGGCAGGGCAATAAAGTTGAACAGTTGTGGGAAGAGGTTGCAAATCTGTTGGGAGGTAATAGATAATTATAGACAACAGTGATATATTATTGAATGCATACTTCAAAATTTTAAAACTGTATTAAATGTAGGACCTAAACCTAATATGATGTTTCTTGTTCTCAGGCCTATTTACAATAGATTAAGTAAAAAAAAGATGGAGGCAACTGAGGGATGACTATATGAGGGCTAAGAAGAAGGTAACTGCCTATGTACCAAGTGGTGCTGGTGCTGCAGATGTACCTCCAAGGCCCACCTTTAAGTATTATGACTTAATGAAGTTTCTGGAGGAAACCGATGAAGATACAATGTATTGATAGTCTCATAATTAAGAATATTGGTATTTTATGATTTATTTTATTTTAGGACTATTTCCAATGTAAGCTTGCCCTGCTTGTCTCCATCATCAATGTCTCGAGAGTGCCAATCCACAGAAGTTCCTATGGCAACAAATGTGTCAACTCCATTTAAAAGCCCTACATCTGTCGCTCCATCTTCTACTTTGGGAAATAAAAGAAGGAGTAAGATTATGTTGCATTCTTTGAACCATACCTGAAATTATTATTTATGAATTGTTTCTCGTGACCTCCAATGCATAATCTTAACCACATTATTAGCTGGATGTAGGTCAAAAGAAAACTACTTTAGGTGACCAATGCAGGGTGTCATAACTTCCAAAACTATCAAAATTAGGTTATTTTTAGGGAACTACGCCTTCTCCATTAGTTATACAGAGTGGCAAAAAAGTAGCGCATAATACCTGCACCTTTTTGCTCACCTTCACATGAAAAAATGTCCTAAAAAGGTACAGATAGGTATAGGTAGTATGCGCTACTTTTTTGCCACTCTGTATATGTAATACTTGTTACAAAACTTTTAAATTCAATTTTAGGAGGTTCTGTTTCTGGAGAACAGGATGTAGGAATCCAGAATGAAGTACTTAGAGAACTAAGAAAACCAGAAAAGGAACCAGATGGGGTTGATGGCTTTTTAGTTCTCCTCGGAGAGGGGTTGAGGAGGTTACCTTTAAAAAACAGAAACCACCTTCAAATCAAATTTCTCCAGATGCTAGAAGAGGAGGAGATTAATTTGCAGACAAATTAATTTTTGGAAAATGTATTAAATTTGATAAATATATATGCATCACAACATATTTGGTTTTATTTAATTTAATTTAACATCTTGCTTACATACAACAACTAAAAGTCATTATTTTGTACTTTTTGCCACTGCCAGGGAACTGCACCTATGTTTTCGAAATAGTCTGACAATCTGTCCCTTAGATCAGCAGCATTTCTTGTATAAACATTACTTCCAGTTCGGCCTATATCAATAAGGCCTGTACTTGGTTCTAATGTGCTTAAATCTAATTGGGAATATTTACAATTCCTGATTGGCAAAGAGGATTCTCTTCTAAGAATAAAATTATGCAAGCAAATTGTGGCTTGCACAATTTTTATTGTAGTTGCTGTAGAAGCAATAATTGGTTTCGCAAAAATTCTCCAACGACCTCTCAAAACACCAAAAGCACATTCTACTATACGCCTGGCCCTACTTAACCGGTAGTTGAAAACCTTCTTTCTTCTATTTAGTATTCCACTTCGAGGATAGGGCCTCATCATATAATTGGTGAGAGCAAATGCTTCATCTCCAACTACAACATAGGGCACTATCAAGTTTCTGTCCTTATCAAGTGGACATGCTCGTGGAACTTTCATTAATTGGTTCTCTAAGCCCATCCCAATAATACTTTTGCGAAAAACACCACTGTCACTATTCCTCCCTGGAGCTCCAATATCTACCAATGTGAATCGCATATTGGCATCCACAACAGCCATAAGAACAATACTATGGCTATTCTTATAATTGAAGTGGGAAGATCCACTGTTGGGTGGTGCCTGTAACAATGAAATACATTTTTAAGATATCATTTGTAATTAATCACCTAATAATAATAATTTTATTAAGTTAACTTACTTGAATTACTACATGTTTCCCATCCACGGCCCCAATACAGTGAGGAAAATCCCACTTTAACTCAAACTCTTTTGCCATGGTTTTCCAGTCCTCCTCTGTGGGTTGTTTTAAAACTTTGTTATTTAGGCACTCCCAGATAGCTTCGCACGTCTCAGCTATAATCTTAGATACTGTCTGTGGGGCAACCCTGAAGGCGTAGGACATAGAAATCATACTATCGCCAGAAGCCAAGTACCTTAGTGTTAGAGCTAGCCTAATTTTAGCTTCAATTGGTCTTCTCACAAAGTCTTGTTTCTTAATTTTAGCTTCAAGAAGGCCCAAAAGCTCAAAAAACATATCTGCAGACATTCTAAAATAATTAAAGAATTGACTGCTGTCCTCCTCCAACTCCACAAATAAGGAACTTCCACAGCCATGCAACATTCTCTTTTCTTCACTAAACATCGGTCGGGTCCACATTCTCCTTACTACAACTCTTTTTCTACTTTTTTCTGCAGACAAAGCTGCCAAATAACACAAATAAACTTTTTTAATTTTCTGACGATAACTTGATCGTTGCCACACAGTTTTCTTTTTCAATTTCTTGGACATAACTCCAAGGAGTAGAAGATAACTATTACTAGTCATTCTTAAAACTAGATTCTGGCAGAAGGACAATTTACAAAGAAATAAATAAAATACGGCAAGTCAAAATTTCGATACATTAAAGAAATGAGAGTCCACAAAAAAACCAAACAACAAAAACGAAATGACGTAATTAAAAATATTGACAGTCACGGATACGTTACAACGGATACTCTATTTGGATGGCGTAAAATTCACGTATACGTTTAACGGATACGGATGTCCGTGATCACGTACCCATGTGGATGCAGGCTGATTCTACTCTACGTTATACGTAAAGGCCGTCACACACACTTTTGCATAACGCATAAGCATAACCTTCAACCAATCACGGGTTTTATTAGAGGTCACCTGATTTTCAGCTGTCAGGTTGGCATAGGAATTTCCATAAGGATAGATATTTTATGCCCCTATGCTATGCTTAGCCAATGAGATTTTGTTTAGTTGTCACGTGTACAAGTGTCGTTGTCATGTCAATAGAAAATTGAAAACATCATAACCTTAGTTTTATCTGTTTTGTTTTTGTTTTGTGCCCAATTTATTCTTATTTTCATTTTTGGAAAGGAAATAAATAAATCAACAGGAAAATACAGGTATGTAATGTAGTACATTCTTAAATAGAAAACTTTTAAATGAAAATAATAAATTAGGCACCAGCTAGACGTTTTGAAAATGGAAGATCATCGCTATTATGCATCTCCTTTTCAAGATGATACTGAAAACATTTTTCAAGAAGAAGTCCTAGATAATTCAGAGAATAGAAATTTTGATGAACTTCTAATTGACCCAGACGGCACCCGATATTGCTGGTATATGCCTACAATCTGCCCATTTTCCCAGGCATATTGCAATATTCCAGGATTATTCCCAGCATATTCGCAATATTCTGTATCAATTAAGCATATTCCAGACATGTATTTATAGGATATGCTATGAATATCATATTTTGCATATTCCTTGAATATGCGAAAGAAAGATTTTTATATAATTCTATAAAATTAAAGCAATTTATTATTTTCAGAGTTTATGCTTATGTGCATCCATCGACAAGCGTTTTTAAATGACCTGATGGTCCTGCCTGATGGAACTATATTTTCCATTCATAACGTCATTATAGGTACTTTAAAGCGCATAAATCAATTATGGAAAATGGTTGAATTTAAAAACTTGCCCTAATTCCTCTGTCTGTCTGTAGGTCTGTTCTCACAGCAATCACAAACCAGTCAGCGCGAATTTCATTGGCTGAAAACAGTCAGAAAACTAGTTTCAACCAATGAAATTCGCTCTGATTGGTTCGTGATTGCTATGAGAACAGACCCTTGTATCGCGACCCTGTACTGTACCACGCCGACGCTCGCTCCCGCTTGTCATGTCATGTTTGTGTCGCAGACTCGCAGTGGGCGCCATTTTCACGGTCGTGCTCGCGTCTACGTCGTTCGTTTTTGTGTTTGGATTTTTCGATTTTGGTTTCGGGAGTGAATAAATAAAGGTAGGTAACTGGTTTATTGTCTTTAAATTAAAACTTTATTTGCAGTTTATCTAATTTATACCCACATTTCTCAAAACTCAAAACTGCTTTATTATTTACTTATAGGTACCTACATAACCTAAAAAATAGAAAAAATGAAAAAAAGCTTCTTTAGAAGAGTAAATAAATCAAGTCAAGAATCGTTTTTGATAGCGATAGACAATGAGGCCATTGCAGCGAACACTGAAAGTAGTCTTAGGGCTTTTAATGAACCTCCTAGCAGTCACAGTAGACAATCCCAAGCAGGGCAGTCCCACAATAACTCTTCCTTGAGTCCCTCAAGTAGTGAATCTGATGAACAACTTGAACTTGATGATAAATGTCTTGAGACTCATAATGGGCAAGTTTCATCACAAAATGATCACTCTGTCAACCAAACTTTGCATGATACAGATATTACTTTCGAAAGTGAACCAGTAAGCAATGAAATGCTTTCGGTCTCCATGCCAAACTTTCCATCTAGTGAAATTTCAACTATAAGCCAAAACAAGTCAGTCGATTTTGCAAGTCAGATAAAATTATGGGCCATAAAAAATCAAATATCTCACAAAACTATTAATGAGTTGCTAATTATATTTAGAAATCACCCCAATGGAGATTTTGGAGGGCATATATTTTTCAAAAAGTGCTAGAGCTTTTTTAGGTACTATGCGTAATGTTCACACTAAAGCTATTTTTCCAGGGGAATATTGTCATTTAGGTGTTGAGCGTGTGTTAGATTTTTTTTTAATTTTACATGAACTTCCAGTACCTGACAAAGTAGAAATAGCCGTCAATATTGACGGTCTTCCTCTCAGCAAAAGTTCAGGGAGCCAGGTATATCCAATTTTGGGGTTGATTTTGGGGCTTAAAAAAAATATTATGAATGTGGTGCTATTAGGGATTTATCATGGATACCAGAAGCCGAGTGATCCAAATCTTTTTTTAGAAGACTTTGTCAATGAGTGTGTTAAATTATCCAATGATGGCATTAAAATTAGAGGTACAGTGGTAAGCTTTCAGGTTAAATTTTTGCTTTTTGATGCTCCAGCCAAGTCATTTTTACTTGGCATTAAAGGGCACAGTGGTTATTCATCATGCACCAAGTGCACCCAAGAAGGCTCATATATTAAAGATAGAGTATGTTTTCCAAGTACCAACTTTACAAAAAGAACTAATGAAACTTTCCGAAATCATCTTGATGAGAATCACAATATCAGACATACAATTTTACAGAATATTGAGTACCTTGACATGGTAAACGACATACCATTAGATTACATGCACTTGGTTTTATTAGGTGTTATGAAAAAGCTAGTAGTCACTACATGGATTTTTGGTAAGCCTCCACACAGGTTGCCTGGTAGATCTATTACCAGCATGGATTTATTGATAAAAAAAATCTCCATATATATTCCTTCTGATTTTCCTCGAAAACCTAGAACTGTATTAGAATCTAAACGGTGGAAGGCAAATGAGTTCAGACTATTTCTCTTATACACAGGCATTATTATTATGAAACCATTTTTACCAGATGAGAAGTATACTCATTTTTTATCACTTTTTGTGAGCATGACAATACTTGTTTCACCTTCTTTATGTGGCTTGTATGATTATGCTGAAAAACTTCTCATATATTTTGTTAAAGAAACTAAACGTATTTATGGGCCCCATTTTATGTCACACAATTTCCATAATCTTTTACATATTGTAGACTGCGCAAATCGTTTTGGACCACTGGATAGTTTTAGCAATTTTTCTAGTGAAAATTTTTTACAAATTTTAAAACGACTGGTAAGAAAGGGCGAAAAACCGCTGGAGCAAATTGTGAAAAGAATATCTGAAGGATTTTTTACTTCTAATTTAGGCCCTAAAAATACTGAGACTAATATTGTACTAAAATGTGAAAAATATGTTTCTCCCCAATTAAGTTCCCCACAGTTTTTAAAATTAATTTCTGGTAATATGTTATTGAATGCAGCACATAAGAGGGATAATTGTTGTAAACTGAAAAATGGTGACATTTCATTAGTTCTCGGTTTTTCTGCTGGTCTAAATAAGGAATCTATATGTGCACTAGTTAGAAAATTTGAAATAGTTCAAGACTTTTTTGACCGTCCTTGTAAATCCTCTTTGGTGGACACATATTTTGTTCAAAAACTTAGTAACGCATGTCAGGTAATTAATACTACCGATATCACATATAAATGTGTTCGTATTCCTTGGAAAACTGGTTTTGTTGTTATGCCTTTGTTACATACTACTGTGTCAAATTGAGGGGGTGGTAATGTCAATGACCTTCAAATCTGTCAATAACTTATGTACTCTGCTTCTGATTTGATGATTTTTCAAATTGGTCTGCATTGAGGAAAAAAAAAACCACGTAATCGGCTCAAATTTGGCATAAACATTCTTTAATCGATTAGGTTTCTATTCAGACAAATTTTGCAAAAATCAACCATCAAGAGGCAGAGCACAGAACTGACAGATTTCAAGGTCATTGACATTAAAAACTATTTTTTCTGTGACGGAAAAAAAATCACTTTTTTCACATGAGAAAAAATGTGTATTTTTTACCCCTGTCAACAGGTACCTACAAAAAGTCAATTTTTTTTCCTGCAAGGGAAAAAAGTAACAGGTACCAGTCAAATTTTTCTGTCAAAGGGAAAAAACTAACAGGTAAAATCACAGAAAAAATTAGTGAATAGATGAGAAATAAGTGAGATTTTCAGTACACAGAAAAAAAAAGTTGACTTTTTGTACCTGTTGACAGGGAAAAAAAATTTACTTTTTTTCCCATGGGAAAAAAGTGATTTTTTTGTTGTATAATACTGAAGTTAAAACTTTTATTTTATGTGTTTGTTGAGTGAACGTTATCATATTATAAATGCATACATTTCACTGTTAGGTACATTATTTTATATTAGGAATATCTAAATAGGGACTTTGCTCTTTCCTCCATTGGCATGTGGATAACTCGGTGGATGGTGGATAACTAGTATTATTTGTAGCCATTTTTATTTAATTTTTCTTTAGTAGGTCTTAGAAAAATGTAGAAACAGATATTTTGCTCAACATATTGTGCTATCAATGTTACCATTCAATTATGCAAAACCGTTTATCAGAAAGGGAAATTGTTGTCCATTTAACATTGGTCAGTTTGCTTGCATTACCTAATGTTTGAATTAGAATTCCTGCATACACATTAATATTTAATTCAAAGTTTGTATTAAATTTAATTGGTCTTTATTTTCTTTAGAAGTTAAATATTAGAACCTAAATAAGCCCCGATTAAAATGGGAGGCTGGCAGATAGTTAAATTTCCAGAAGATGATAATAAAGTTGAGGCTGTACCGTCATCCTGGATTTCAAAAGAGCAAGGAAAAATCATGTGTTTTTGGCCAAACACTATTTCCAGCAGCAAAGTATTAAATTACATAAAAAGTCAAGCACAACCGCAAGGTGACTGGAAAAGCTATCCTGTTGTCATTTTAACCCAGTATCCTGAAGAAAGCTACTCATTTGCTTGCCAGAAAGCAAAACGAGCACAGTATACAAGTGCGGTTGATACGGGTGAAGAATCAGAAGAGGATCGAATATCCAAGAGAAAACGCAAAAAGAATCATAAATATTTAAGTAGTGAATCAGAAGATTCACCGTTAAAAACGGCACGCAAGACGTCCAGACAGTTGAATAAAATGCCAACACCTCCAGACCAAACAAAAGGTAAACAAAAACAAATGTGTAGTTAAATATTTAAAGTTGTTCTTAACAAAAAATGCAGCTTCTCCCTTGTTCTTTTGTAAAACACTGAAAGTAATATTTTGGGTTTTTCTTAAATTTTACAATAATGCGAAATAAAAATATTATTTTTATTTATTCGAATAGAGTTCAACCTTTAATTTTTTATTTAGTAGCAAGCAGCAGTTCTCAAATTGCCCTAAATAATGTCAGCAAAAATTTGGGAAATGTCCTTGAGAGTGTAGCTGAAAATACTGATAGTGGTCAGAATAAAGACGTTAGAACCACCAGTTCTCGCAACCAGAATTTGACTAAGACATCCTGTGAAAGATGTAAAGGTATGTATGCAATAAGAAAAAGGCATCTATATTAATTACATTCCATTCTCATGTTATTACCACAATTACCACCCTGTCGAGATTCTAGGGTACTGTGAGAGATGAAAGTTTGGTTAAATAGGGGAATCTCCGAAATTTGGAGGTTCCCAGTACCTATTCAAAAGTTTAGAAAATTTTGAATTTTCTACAATTATGTAGATAAGTGATTTTCTCTTCAAGCGTATGGTGGGAAATTTCGCTACGCGTTATCATCGATCTGGTCAAAAAATGTGTATCCCTATTCCTAGATTTATCCTTTCGCCTGTGATGTGATGGTAATAAGCAATTTAAAAATTGTTTTTTTACAGATTTAAAAGAAGTTTTAAGACTATTAAATCTGATAAATGCAAGAGTTTCCAATAATTTGGAAGAAATCAAAGCGCTCCAATCGGGAACTTCATCTAACAGCAATGCAAAAGTAGTTCAACCTGAAGCTAATATTGACATAGGCACTCTTCCTGCAACAAATGAACATGAATTTAGAGAACTTAGTAACAAAATGAATGATAAGAGCATCAGAGAATATATGGTAAATAAATACCTAATTATATTTTTTGGGCGAAACATACTCGGTAGATCATTGTTCTTTATTTTATTTTTCATTTTAGGTTAACAAACTTGTCCACATTGGGGGAACCACAATAAAAGAAATTGTGAAAAGATGTATGTCAAGCATTGTGGATGATAAAGTCCTTATCTCTTACAGTTGGATTGGAGGAAAGGGCAAATTAAAATTTTCTCACCTCAACATAGCAGACCTATTAGTTGGTATGTATATATCAGATTTCTAATTTGACTAAACATGGTAAATTTCAAATGTGAGACTTTTTTTCTCGTTCTTATTTTTTTTGAACGATGCAACTATAAGACGTTTGCTTGGTTAAGTTTTCTTTTTATACTTATTCAAAAATATTATTTCTTCTGTTTTAGATGTCTGTAAGCTAAATCCATTAACCAAAACAGAGACGGCCAAAAATGTGGAGCAGGCAATTGCGCTGTATCTAACAAAGGCAAAAGAAAGAACGACTAGACAAGAGTAATTAATCATTACTGAAATATTTAAAAATATATAGATTTTTGTTTATTTTAGGGCCAAAAAGAACAAAGAACCGGAAGCTGAGGCACCCTAGGCACAACTTTCGGTTTTCTTTTAAATTATACAAACTTATGCAGAATTATTTTTTAATTTTTTTTAGAGTTCCTATTTTATTTGGTTATTTTTTCGTTTGATGGTAGTAGAAAGTTCCTTCAGTTTTTTTTAGAGTTCCTATTTATTTTATTGTTTTTTATATTTTATTTTTATTATATATAATAGTGTTTATTATATCTATTATTAATAAGTTGAATAAATTGTTTATTCAAAGATTAATTGGCTCCTACTTTTGAGTTTAATTTAATCTGAATCTACTTTTATGTTCATTTCAACCTGAAAATTTTAACATCTTTGTAAAATTTTTGATATTTTACAAGATAATGCCATGGGCAAGTTTTTAAATTCAACCCTTTTCCATAATAATTGATTTATGCGCTTCATGTATAATAACGTTGTTGAATAGAAAATCGTTCCATCAGGTCATTCAAGAACGCTTGTCGATAGATGCGCATAAGCAATTGATGAATTTAAAAACTCGCGCTTTCAAAAACTGAGAAATTTCAATTTTGGGAAACATTCCGAAATCAGTGTGTTTAAAAGATACCTACCACTCGACCTATAAATTTAAATGGATTGAACACACATATTTTTTGCATGATTTTGCTTGGCAGAGTACCGTGTGTACAATAACTTTTAAATAAAAAAAGGCATTGTGCATTATCAACTATTTCCAAGCAAAATCATCCTTAAAAAAATTATGTTAGATAGTTTAATTCGATTTAATTTGGAGATCGAGTGGTATCTTTTAAACAAACATATTTCAGAATGTTTCCCAAAATCAAAATTTCTCAGTTTTCGAAAGGAATATATGAATATCTTATGCATATGCATGAGATATTCATCAAATATTCTTTAAGGATATTGCATATTCAGTGAATATTCCAATATCCAATTGTCATATATGTGGCATATTGCAGGGATATGTTTCATGGTGACTTAAGCATATGCCTGGAATATTCCTGTCATATGAAAAGATCTGCGTGGCATATTCCTGGAATATCTCTATATTCCCATGAAATATGCCACGAATATTCCTGCAATATGTTTGTGCCGTCTGGGTGATATTGTCAAAGGTTATCCTCATTTATATAATAAAGCTGATACCAATTTTAAAGATGCCCTAATGAAGGAAAATTCTTGGCAGGAAATTGCCAATGTTTTAAATGCTTCTGGTAAGCATAGAAATGTGATTTTTTGTCAATTTATTTACCTACTCTATTGTTTAATTTAAGTGCTTGATTGTAAAGCTGGGTTCTAACAGAAAATAATTTAATTTAATTTAGCATTTAATTTAAGAAATAATTTAATTTCATTTAGTTACGTTCATACAAAGATTTAACTTAAGGCAAGGATTGATATTTTAACCAATAAAATGCGTTTCTTCGCGCTTGCGCATTTATCGACAGTTCACTTGTCAGTATGTCAGCTGTTATTTGCCCTTTTCAGTAGGTAGATTTTATTTTGTATTGTGTTGTGTTGATTTGTATCAATTTAACGAGAAAATAAAGCGGCGATTAGCGATTACTACACTAAATAATGGACGACGCCGACCTGATAGAGCAAGTGGGCAGATTTTCTGCCCTCTATAACAAGGGGGACGCTCGATTTAAAAATAAAGGGGCTAAAGAAAATGCCTGGAAGACAATTGGAGCCATTCTTGGACAAAGGCGTAAGTTTTTGTTTACATTGCACAGCAATGTTATTATGTACCTATTTAATTTTGTCCTAATTCGTAGCCCAAGTATGCGAGCAGCGGTGGGTTGTACTGAGAAATAGGTACACAAAAATAAAGCGTGAGATAACCACCATGCCTTCAGGCTCCGGAGCATTCCATAATAATTGGCCCCATTTCCACTCAATGGGATTTTTGGATCCATATTTGACAACAAGAAAGTAGGTTTTTACAGTTTAAAATGAATTTAACTTTAAAAAATTGTTTTTTATTGAATATTTAGCAGAAATTATTCATTTCCAGAACAACTTCGAACTACCCTATAGCTTCGGAAAGCCAAAGTCAGTGGGAAGAGGAATCTCAGACCTCTATGACTGACGCTACGGAGGTCAGTATGTTAACAGAGGAAGAAAGTAGCTGCAGAAGCAAAGAACCTCGTGTGTGGGACAGCATGGCGGTTATTATAGATGGGGGAGAAGATTCAGAGCAGTCACAGCTCGAGTCACAGTCTCTGTTGCAGCAAGGAAACAGAGTTACGCCTAAAATTGGAACAGAAAGGTTACGTACCGCCGAATCTACTTCCGAGCCTGACGATGATCAATCAGGTCCTTCAAAAAAAAAATTGAGCATAAGAAAATCAATTCCTCGATCAATTCCTATTAAGAGGCAGGGCAACAGCCCAGGAGACTGCGCTTGCCAAAATGGGCAACTGTTTCGACATTTTTCAAAAAAAAATGACAAGTTCAGAACCACATGAACATGACGAGTCGATGGCTTTTGCCATTTCTTTGGCAAACGATATGAAAATACTCACCACGGAAGAAAAAATATTATTTAAAAAAAAAATGTACACATGTTTTGAAGAAATATTAAACAACAGAAATTAAACAATACTTTACCCTTTGTTTTATTTTTAATTAAAAAGTTAATAACTTAAAAAAAAGCAACAAAACTTTTAAAAAAAATCAGACTTTAAATAAAAATCCCTAATAAGGAAATACTTTTTTTAAAGAAATAACTTTATGTGTAAGATAAAAAGGAAAAATCAACTCATTAAATAATATAACACAGGAATAGATAGAATAAAAAAATTTATTGGAAATTATAAAAAAAAATTTCTTCCGTAACATGCTAATCAGTAAAAGTAAAATTATCGGGAACACCCCTAGCGCTAATTTGATCCCACTGATGTTTAAGGGCTCCCAGTGGTGACAAAAGATAATCTGTAAGAGTTTCCCTTAAATTTTTTACGTTTGTTGCAGCATTATTTGAACCTAGTCGGCCAACACTTCTTAATTTTTTATCTTTTCGCCATTTTCCCATGTGAAGAACTCCATTATTATCAACCCAATCAACAAAACCTGTGGGACAGTATTTTCTATCCTTAACAGGTAGATCTCCTTCTCCTTTTTGTATGTAATTGTGAAGAACAATTGTAGCTTGGATAATTAACTGACACATTTCCTCACTAGCTATTATTGTGCTTCTTAACCGTCTCCACCTTTGAGCCAATATACCAAACGAATTTTCAATAGTCCTTCTTACTCGAGACAACCTTAGATTAAAAATATTTTTAGAATCATCTAGATACGTTCCTGGATATGGTCTCATAATGTTTTCGTGTAAAGGAAATGCTTGGTCAGCAGCAAAAAAATAAGGAAATAATGTATCCGTTCCAGGCAACGGTGCAGGAGCTGGAATGGGAAGTGTGCCATTTAGTAAAGCACTTCCATAGCCAGAATTTTTGAAAATTGCTGAGTCGTGATTGGCCCCTGCTGCTCCAATATCTACATATGTAAAGCGATAATATGAATCACATACAGCCATTAATACCATGCTAAAAAAATATTTTGTTTTAAATGGGTGACGTTTGAAAGATTAATTGAAACATGAGTGGAAAAATGTAAGATATAGGTACTGTAAGAATTGAAGCTTACCTAAAAGATTTTTTGTAAGAAAAATATGTTGATCCAGATTGCTTTGGACATTGAATTTCAATGTGTTTTCCATCAACGGAACCTATGCAATTTGGCATATTCCATCTCTTAAAATTTTCTTTTGCAATATTTTCCAGATGTTCTAATGTAGGATTTGGCAACACCAAAGGTTGTAAAACTTCCCATAATACTTTACAGGTCTCCTTGATTATGTAATGAGCAGTGCTCTTGCCAATATGGTTATTCCAGGCAATTTCTTGCATGGAACATCCTTCCGATAGGTAACTAGAAGTAAATAAGTTTGTTAAAATAAAAACACCAATATCTAGCTTTAGAATGCAAAACTGCCCTTAAAACACTTTGTATTGGCTGGCCTTGAATGTAATTAGTTGTAAAGTTGCATCTGAGTTTAGATTCTAAGCTATATAACTAGAAATCAACTTTATAACCTCTATGAAGTACCTATCCTAAAGGCAATGCTAGCATCAGAAGCTGACTTAAGGCTTTAAAAAATACTTACTGCAAAGTCAAAGCCAGTCTCTGCCCAGGTGATATAGGTCCTTTTGACAAGTCCCTCCTTATATATGGTTCAATCAAATTAAGCAGATGATTGAACATTTGGGGACTCATTCGAGTGTATTTAAAAAACTGTTCATGGTCCTCCCTTTCCGCAAATTTTACAATTTTTTCATAAACACTGTATTTATTCCTCTCTCTATTCATAGGTCTAATTTTATACCTTCGTTTTCTTTTCAAGGCAATGCTCAAAGTGAGGGCAGAAGCTCCTAGCAAAAACATAAACCAAGTTTCTTCTTCAGTAAGCATCTAAAAAACAATTTTTACAACATATCGCGCGTAAAAAAACGTGCTTAGATACCTTGTCATGTAATACGCTATAAATTTATAAAAAAAATCACTCACAAATCACGAATAGCCTGAATATTTACTAAAATGCAGTTTAATCCAATACAAATTGTTTGTTTTGTTTTTTTTTCAAACTAAACTCAACAGTAAACAATTTGTCATTTGTCATACGCCAAACAAACGAGTTTGCGCAGAAGATCGAAATGTAACGCAATTTAACGTAAAAGATAAAAGTTGGCGAACTTTTACATTACGTTACATTAAATCTTAAATTGCATTTTTTGTATGAACGCTATCATTAGATGCCGGTCGGTTAACTTTTTAAATTATGTTACATTAAATGCTAATTTAAATTAAGTTTCTGTTAGAACCCACCTTTATATGCGTTAAATGCTATTAGTCCGAAAATGATAGGTGAATATTTTGCGGAACAATAACAAAATAAACTAGTAACCCGATAATCGGAATAGAAACAAAAACACTATTATTCCGATTATTGGACGA